GTGTTGCTCCTTTCACTCTCTCAGGCCCTCCAGCCTTCTTTCAGCCGGCCGCGCAGCTCGCCACTGACAGCCGCGGCGCGGGGGGCGGCGCCCAGGTTGCGCCTAACTTGTTTGTCTTAGGAGAGGGGGAGGGCAAGGTACCCCCCCATTACAAACCCTACTAAGGACATCCCAAGTGGGAGCGCATGCCTGTCCTAAACCCCAAACCCCAAACCCCTAACCCTAAACCCTAAACCCTAAACCCCAAAACCCTAAACCCTAAACCCAAGGTCTTCGAGGGAGGTTGCGGGCTGGGCAAAGCCGCCGGCCACCTTGCGAGACCCCGCCCAGTGGTAGGGCTCAGAAACCCCAACAATCCTTGATGAAGCCCTCGAGTTCCGACTATTTTCTTAAGACCCCCTCAAAAACTAAGCTGAAAACATGATTCTTCCTTACAAGGATAAGATAGGGATTGCCTTCTTTCTTTTGGGGCGGCTCTTCATAAGGAAATAGTAGTAAGACAACAACATAAACTTATCATCGTATAGTAGTATAGGAACATTTGGGTTCTTAAGGAAATCGTAGCCTCGCAACAAACGCCACGAGCTTTCCCAGGCACCAGAGCTCGGGTCGGCAAAGGCCGTCAGGTCGAGCTGCCTTCCTGCAAAGTAGCAGGAAAGGTTTAGGGTTTAAGGTTTAGGGTTTAGGGTGCCTAGGGTTTAGGGTTTAGGGTTTAGGGTTTAGGGTTTAGGGTTTAGGGTTTAAGGTTTAAGGTTTAAGGTTTAGGGCTTCGGCTCTCACACTCGCACAAGGCAAGGACTCCGTTCGAAGGTCTGTCAATGCCGAGGGCTTAGGGAATCCGCCGCTCGGCTTTCTTGGGATGCAGGGCTTCGGCAATGCATTCTCTGGCTTACGGCTCAAAATCATGAGCCCACCCCTTTTTTGTCATATATACTACATGTTATTCATCTGACACCTACACAGAGATGGAGAGAGAGAGAGAGAGGGCGTCATATTACAAGACCCCCATCCCACCTTGCGGCTTCCACCTGGACGAACTCCAGGAGCGCGACGCCGGCAGACTTGCCAGTGCCCGGGGAGTCCAGGATCCTGCGCAGTATGCTTATGACTTTTTATTACTAATCTTATTCTGCTTCTTATTCTTCTTCGTACGAGCATGATGACATTATGATTATGATAAATATGTTACTATGAGCATTGTGACATTGTGATTCATATTAATATTGTGATTCTGATTATTCTTATTACTGATATACATATATATAGGTACATACTCTTTTTTTGCAGTTCAGCTTCGCTTTTTGTTTCGGCACCTTTTTTCATGCCCCCCGCCCGCCCCCCCCCCCCCCACCCCCTCTGCACCTGAGTCGCCGAACCTGGCCAAAGTGCTCGCCATACCTCTGCAGCTTTAAAGCGTGAGGCTCTGGGGGACTTCTGCGACCCTTTTGTGGTTTTTGCGCGTGGGAAACCTCATGGGAAAAGGGTGCGAACATGCAAGACCACTGCTCACAAGGCGGCACGTGCGCATGGTCTTTTGTGCGACTTCGTGTGTCGCTTTGGATGTTTCAGGGGCTGGGGGGGAGAGGGGCGTCTGGGCCTAGGTCGAGGGGTACTTGTAAGCTGGAAGAACCGCATCGCAGGGGGATGTTGACGGAAACACAACTTTCTGCTCCCTTTGGTGCCTGCGCAGCTCCGTGTCAGTCAGCCACCTGGGCTTTGGCAACTTCGCTCGGACACAAGTATCCGTAAGGAGCGCTCAGGGGCACGGCCTCTTCAAGAAAACGGCGGTGCCTTTGCTGGGGTAGGTTTGAGGGCCCCACAAAAATAATACAATTTTTTGTCCCTATATATAGGAGTATATTGAGGTTAAGGTCTTTTTTAAAACTATGTTCAAACCGACCCCTGTTTTGGGGTACCCACTAAATAGAGTAGGGTGGCTTACGTACCTTTCGCATACGAAAGCTGGTGCAGGTGAGGCCACCATGGGAGGCCTCCGACCAGGAGCGAGCTGCTCTCGCCAGGTTGCGCCTGATTGCGAAACCCAGAACCACCCAACAGAGTTTAGGGCATACCTGGGGACCTCTCCAAGAAATCAAGTACCCTCACTAACGGGATACATACCGTCCTATACTTAGGTCGTTGAGTAGATCTACCTATGTAGGTGGAGTCAGGGAGTAAGCAGAGCCCTCTGGATCATGCGACTCATAATACGTATAGAAAGCCAGCTTCCACAGAGTCAAGTTCAAGACGTCGAGTACGGCTTCGGCTGAATCCCGGATAAGCCCTCGCAGCTGAGGCTCCAGTGGCGGCAACGGCGGCGGTGGCCCAATAAACAGCAGAATCTCCTTCTTCTTGATCCTGCTTTGGCCACACCAACATGCCGACCGCACCTTTCATCATTGGCATCATTGGCCGCCACTCTGCAACCCTAACTCTAAACCTAAACCCAAACCGACTCTCCCCCCTGACCCTCGAAACCCCAGCCCAGGCAGCCTGGGGCCCTTCGACTCCACGCCGGAGCCCGGCGCAGCATCGCCCGTTCCTCAGCGCAACTTGCGCCAGGCTTTGGGTCTGAGGGGCGACGAGCCAGTATGTACGGAGAACCGTCTTCGACCGTCTCACGTGCTCAGCAGACGAACGCATGCCACAACATTGGCCTTTGGTTTGCTTGCTTATGTTATGTTGTTTTATGTTGTGTTATATGTTATGCTGTGCTGTGCTGTGCTGTGCTGTGCTATGCTATGTTATGTTATTGTTATGTTTGATTATGTATCCTGTAAAACGCCCGAACTGTCAGGATTAACTTCAGACGCAGACTCCGGAGCAACGCCGGAAGTGGGATGCGCGGTGCCTGTCTCAGAGGCACGCACCTTTGGAGCGGCAAGTGTAGGAGTCCATGACTACTATGACGAGGTTAAAGTGAAAAAATGGGTATCGGTCGAAGTTGCCGAAAGTTTCACCAAGGCTGCGACAGGAACAAAGCTACAAAGTGGCCAAAGTAGCCGAACGGCAGTTGGAGAAAAACAACAGACAGAGATGCTGACTTAGGGGTTCATGGGTAGTCATATGTACAGTAGGGTGATCTGTATGGTAATTATAACATAAACCCCATTTAAATTTGGGATACTTACAGCCCTACTCCATATAGCTACTCATGAACCTCCAAGTACGGCTTAAGCTGAAGGACGAACCGTGATTGGCTTGGCAAGAAACACTCGTGTAAGTCCCTACAGCCCAGAAAGCCCAGAAATCCTAAACTCCTAAGCACTCCCCTGGCGGACCTCTCCCAGGTGAATCTCACCTTCCTGCCAGAAACTCTCGCTTACTTTCTTTTGGCGTCATCTAGAATCTAGAATGCTGCACGCTCCTGTGCGTGGGCTTGTTTTTCAACCTCTTCTCATCAGGAAACTGTGCGGACATGAAGACGTCTGTCTGAAACAGCGACTTTTCAGACCCTGCAACGGAGTCCTCGCTGCCCTCGGTCCCCATCCGAGATCACGCCCCCCATCCTCGAAGTCGTGAAACGGGGGGGGGGTGGGCGGGAATTCAAGAACACTTCCTTAAATGCAAAGCCGGCGCCTCCATGGCAATGTCTGCGGCCTCCGAGACAGGCTGCCGGGCGCAGCCGGCGCTGCGGCTAGCTCGGCTCTCTGCTCGATAGGGCTCGATGGGTTGAGGGGTTGAGGGATTTTGTTGTGTTTTAGCTACGCAGCTACATCGACAATCGACTTGAAGCAACGACCTTTTGTCAGCCACTCTCAGCGTGCCTCCTCTTCCTGCAACTCCTTCTGCAACGCTGCGAAAATCCTGTGGCTTCGGCTTCGGCTCCGGCACTTCCGCAACGGACGCTGCCGTTGCAGCCTCAGGCACCGTGGCGAGCACAGGCGCGGCGGCAGGTGCAGTGGCGGCACAGTGTCTAGCGCGGCGGGCGCGGGAGCAGCAGCAGTGGCGCAGTGCGCAGTGGCGGCGCAGTGGCGGAAACCTGTGGGGGCCGCTGTGGCGGCCGCTGTAGCGGGCGCCGCAGGCGCACTGGTCCGTGTTCGCAGCGGGCTGCGGTGGCAGGTCGTCATCTAGCACCTCGACCACCTCCGGCTCTGTCTCCTTCGACTGTGGCACCTGGGCCTCCTTCGGCCTCCAGTCCTGGGGCCTTCCACACCAGATTTCCGTGCTCGGCGCCCGAAAAGGGCCGCTCTCACCGTCACCGGCAGGGGCACGGTCCTGTCGTGGGTCGGTTGCCGCGGGCCTTGCAGGTGCTGGAACAGAGGTTGGGAGGCCGGCGATGGCGCCAACTTCGGCTTGGGCAGATCCCCGCAAAGATCCCCGTAGATTCCACATCATCCATGGCGATGCTGCTGCGAAGCTAGTCACATTGCGTAGCACTCATACTTCTTCTGGCAGTCTCAGGGTTTGCCGAACGACTGTCCAACATGATTCAGGGGTTCTCCCTCTTCTGGTGGCATCATTCCCGGTTTTGGTCAGATGAAAGAGCACATGGGTGCCTCGACTGATTTGAAAGGCCCGCGGCAGCATGCAGAAGGGTCGCAGAGCGAGCCGAAACAAGCGGGGGTCGGGGAGGTCATGATCAGCAGCCCTTACCAGGAAGCGCAAATAAATGTCACGGGGCGACTGCACAAAAAAACCTCACGGCCACACCTGACTCTGCGCACGGGTCGGCTGCCCGGTTGTTGCTCGCCTCACAAATCTTGCACAGCCAAAGCTTCTGCGTTGAGAATGGCATTGGGGCATCAACTCGAGCCAAGACACCCTTCCCGCAAAGCCGCGACCCCACTTGACGTCATTGGCTTCTTCTGGACCAGCACAACTGCAGGTTGAGAGATTGCCCGACATCTTGCAACATGCATGGCAAAGCAAGGTCCCTCCCTGTGACTTTTCTGCGCGTCTGGCTTCAGAACTTCTATCTGCGAGCCGCGCAAGGTGCGACCTGCTACCACTTGCGGTGGCATTACCGCCCCGTTCGAGGCAGTTCGCCATGCAGAACTTCACGCTTGAAACCTCCCCTCACGCACGATGTGCTTCATGGACTCACCTGGCAGCTAATTGGTCTTCGCTCAACTGGCCTACTGCCTAGCAGCCTCGCAAACCACACTGCAGGGATGCAAAACGGGTTTAGGGTTTAGGGCTTAGGGTTCATTTTTGTTTTTTTACTCTTTCCCCCCCCTTTTCCCCGTGAGGCCAGCATGGGACCCCGCCCCATGAGGCCAGCATGGGAACCAGTCCTCCTATTGCCACGTTCGTTCCAAAATATGTCGAGTCAGCACACGTACATTCGACATTTCCAGACAAAGTACAGTCAAGTAATCCCTGGAAAGCCTATGTCTTCCTACTCCGAAAGCATACTCCATGTAGTCGCTGAAAATCTATGTTTTCTTGAACCCACAAAACGCAGGCCTCCACAGGGTTGAGGGTTTAGGGTTTAGGGCTTAGGGTTTTCGGGTTTAGGGTTAGGGCTTAGGTTTAGGGTTAGGTTTAGGGTTTAGGGTTTAGGGTTTAGGGTTAGGGTTTAGGGTTTAGGGTTTAGGGTTTAGGCTCCCACTCCCTCGCCTGGTTCTTGTCCCAGATGACGACCTCGGGGCCATCCCCCGGGTTGAGACGACGGTTGTAGCCCTCCGAATGCACCTGGTCATGAGCAAAATCCTGGCTAAAAGCTAACAATAATGATCATGATAATAATAATAATAATAATACATCATCATCATACTAGTAAAAAAATAGAAAATATAATAATATTATTCTTCTTATCATATATAATAATACTAATAATAAGATACTAATAATAACAATAATAATCATAGCAATCAATAATGATAATATAACAATAATATCGATCAGCATCTTCACCCTTTTGTTCCCTGAGGCGCTTCGGTGCTTTTTGGTTACGGGCGCCTGGTGGCCATAGCGGCCATGAGACAGGCATTGACGTGGCCTCGAAGCCTCGGCTTGTCGCCCCTAAACCCTAACCCTAAACCCTAAACCCTAAACCCTGAACCCTGAACCCTGAACCCTAACGGTGTCAGCTTCTTCATCTTCCCGAGGCAATCAGAATGTTTCGCATAAGCGTGCAGCAAAGCGCACGCCGAACGCAAGAACATCACTGATCCATTTGGGCAAAGGCCTCAGGCCCAACACAAACCCACAGATCATGATTATTATTTCTATTATCCGCCGAGGCCTCGGCCGAAGGTGTATAGGCAGTCGAACAGGCACCCCCCTCCAAATCCTCCTTTTTCGGACCCCTTTTTTTGCCTCAAATGGGTACCCCCCCTAGGTTGAGCAGTGTCCGCAAGCGGATGGTTCGCCAGGACCAGGCAGTTGCAGCCCTTCCCAGCACAGCCCCCCCCCTTTTTTGCCCCCCCCCCCCCCCCCCCCCCCCCCTACCCCCCCCCCCCCCCCTACCCCCCCCCCCCAACCCCCCCCCCCTCCCCCCCGTCCCCAATGGTTTCATAACCCAGGAGTCGCTTTCAAGGTTCCCATCGTTTTACAGGGTTTTGGGCATTCGTGCCACCCCTTGCTTAATTGAATGGCTGGGGTGCTTGCTCACATAAGGTGTTCGGGCCGGGGTGTAGGTTGTTAGGTTGTCAAACAGGCACCCCCCTCCAAATCCTCCCAGCGCTTTTCGGACCCCTTTTTTTTTTGCCTGGAGATGGGTACCCCCCCCAGGAAACCGGGGTCCGCAAGGGACGGTTCGCCAGGACCAGAGGCAGTCAAGCCCTCAAGCCCCTCCCCCCCGCCCCCCCACCCCCCCCACCCCCCCCCCCCACCCCCCCCCCCCCCCCCCCCCCCCCCCCCCCCCCCCACACCCCCCCCCCCACCCCCCCCCCCCCCCCCCCCCCCCCCCCGCCCTCCCGGAAGCAACCCATCCCCCCCTCCCCCCCCCTCCCCCCTCCCCGCACTGCAGTTGGTGAGCGGGTTTTTTGAGTCTGAGCAAAAACCCTGAACCAAACATCTCAAACCAAAAGCCCGAAGCACTCGTTCCCCCCCCACTCCCCTTACCCCAACGAGGGGCCTGGCTCAACCCTACGATCAATCCAAGCCCAACCATCTTGAACCCTGCTCCCAAAAAAACCCTAAACCCCAAAGCGTGAACCTTGAGCCCTAAGCCCTCAATCCTAAACTAAACCATAAACCATAAACCCGGAACCCTAAACCCTAAACCCTGAACCAAACCCTTATTGCTTGGGGTCCAGCGACTTGGGCGCTGCGGAATCACCATGCTCACGCGGATGCGCTGGGCCGGCCGAGGCGGGTCGCGTAGCGTTAAAATTACCAACTGTATATGATTATTGCTATTATTATTGTTATTATTACTATGATTATGACGACCAACCTGAAGGATAGATCCAGGGAACTGGGATGCGTCTGGATGCAGCGGACGCTGGTGTAGCAGTTCCTTGGTGAGCAATCTTTCCCGCTGTCGGATGGCAGCTTCAGCAGGGCTCGCTGCAAAGACTAGAAGAAAAAGCCACAGCCCGTGCAAATTAAGTTCCAGAACAGCATCCATGGCATGCTCTTGACGCGCCCCACATCCACCATGGCCTGGCAATGACTCTCTGGGCTTCCTCAGAATTTCACATCCGATGCTGCCCCAGCAGTCACTCAAGAAGTCTGCTTCCCGCAGCTGAACCGCAACGCCTCGATCATGTAGCCCTGGTGCGACTCGTGGCCGACTGCTTTATGGTAGGTCTCCTCGGGCATTCAATGGATGACAGGCATGGCCCATGGTTTGTAAGCCAGAACTGGGCAAATAACAAGAAGAAGCCAATGATAAGACAGTCACAAGCCATGACTAGTAGCGGAAGCATTTTCCCATTCCATCAGCTCCGGAGCCCAGCCCTTTCTGAACAGGGAATGCGCGAGAGCACGTCATTGCTTGCGATGGCGCAAGCGTAGGGCGGGTTTGGGCCCCCGGCTTTCTTGGAAGAGGTGCATAGCAGTGCGTGAGGCCCCATCTCTGGTCCCGACATACGCACCCTTGACCACGTGGGTCTACATGAGGTGTCTTCTCTGCGACCCGGCGGCCGCCGCGGTGTTGCCAAAGTAGATTGCGCCGCCGCACCAGCCTGAAATTTCTCTCTCACCCGAGCCGGAACCCCTGGCAGCTCCTTACGACAAGCCAGCACGTAGAATGATGCGAAAGGCTCTTGACCCAAAGATCCCTCCAATTCTGGGCCACTACCATCCACCTGAGCCCCTCTGTGTTGCATCGGCAGGGCCTGCATGGCCAGAGCGGAAGCCTTCCTGCACAGAGCTCATGGGCTTCAGGGGTTCAGGGTTCATGGGCTCCATGGACCTGAAGCTAGGAAAACGTGGACGCTCCGGAGCGTTCATGAAGCTTCGGGCCTTCAGAATCTTTGGTCCAATTGACGGCGATGTCAGATGGTAGAGGCGCCAGAGGCGTCCGGTCCTGCCAAGCATGTCTGGGGCAGCGTCACACGAAGCTTCCCTTCCACAACTGGCCGCGGGAATCTTCACTGAAGAGGCCGAGCTTCTGATTCAAATCCGATGCAATCGACTGCATCTCGCTGTCGTTGGCGGCATCAAGAAGCTCCTCACTGCCACCTTACAGGAGGGGTTAGGGAGCATATTACACTGCAACCCTCAAAAAGGCCGGAACACGGCGTGAGGCGGTGAGGCCCCACAAGCGTCGGCCCTCAAAAAGGCCCCTAAAGACAACCCCCCCCCCCCCCACACAACCCCCACCTTGCGAGCTTCGCAGCTGCAGGGCATTCACGGCGCACTCACCTGCATTGCTGCTCCAAGCTTCGAAGTGATGGGATGCAGTCTAGATACCGCCCTCTAGGGCGATGCGACGCAGGCTTCCCACGGCTTCCCGAAGCCATATGAAATCCTGACCCAGACTTGGACATCCTCAAAGCAACCACCCCCTGCGATCCCCTGCGCACCTGAGTCCAGGGACAACAACCCAAATAGGGGGTGACGATATTAGGGGCACGAGGGGATCCTACCTTTTGGGGGTCTCCCCAACTCCTCCTGCAGTAAGCCGTTGTGGCCCCGAAAGCGGCAAATCCCTTAAGCTGCCTTGGGCCCCTTGGCACTCGTCATCCTGCAGCAAACCGGTTTCGTCCGCACGAGCCAGGGCGACGAGGAGGAGGGGAAGCACTTTTCCTGAAAGAGCATCGTCTCAAAAAAACCCTAGCAAAACAAAAAACACTGTAGCAGCGCCACTCAAAGGCTATCAAGTACAATGCAAGCAGAACTAACAGAAAGCCGACCGCGAGGTGCTATTTCCTCTCGCGAGGTGCTCTTTCCTGCGGCCTACTTGGAGGTGGGTGGTTCTAAGCAGGGCTAGAAGTAACCCCCAAATCGGAATTATAAGTAGAACCATACCTATCACCACCCATGAACCTCCACTGGACCACAGGCAAAGGCCAACTCTTCCGCCGAGCTTCGCATTGTCGCTGCAGCCCAGGGGCGTTTGCCAAAGCTAAGGCTGCGGTCGATTCAAAAGGCTGCGGCAGCAGAGCACGTGACTACCGGCTGCATGCAGACGACCCGAAAACTCAAAAATGTTAGGGTTGAGGGTATAGGGTTTCGGGTTTAAGTTTTTTTGTTGCCACCGGCTTAGCTGACTCCTCTGGTACCACTCCGCAGGGTGCCGCAAAATAGCCCCGATCGTCCCCCTCTTCTCGCAAACTCAACACAACACAAATAGTCGGCACATTCAAGGCGGGGGACTCATCCAGGCTCGTCTTTGGGGGCGCGGTTTAGGGTTTAGGGTTTGCGGTCACCCTTCTGGCCACCACTCTACATCAGGTGTGCAAGAAAGCCAAATACTCGAGGCGAACCATCCAAACTACCAAATGTAGTCAATGTAGTCACTGCTGTACCCCAACATACCGCAAACAACCGCGTTCCCCAAACAGCAGCCCCAAAACCCTGAGCCCTCTGACCCGAAAGCCTTAACCCTATAAACCCATAAACCCATAAACCCAGAAACCCATAAACCCATAAACCCATAAACCCGTGTCCAACGTTCGGGGCTTTGCAGCAAGCGGCAAGTTGCCCGGGCCTCCATGACCTTTCTGGACCTCCCTGGCCTCCCAGGTGTGAAATCGGGGTTTCAGCACGTCAAATTCTCTCATACAATATTATATCTCGAACAAGGATTTACGGCTTAGGGCCGTCCAGGATCTAGGAACGCTGCCCGGTTACCTATGGCCCGGCCTGGCACGAGACGCCGAACTGGAACAACTACCCATCCAAATTCATTCGATCTTTGAGAACATATCCGGGCCCTGGCCTGATCTGATACCATCTTCGGGGGGGGGTACCAGTACAAGGGGCAACCACAAGGGTCGCAAGGCAATCCGAGCATGCGCGACCGCGGAGTCGGCCTCTCAATGGCAGGCTTGGTGCCCATTCGCATGCCGCACTTCATCACATCTATCACCTCGGCACTCCAAAGCACACATTCTTGTGCACTTCCCCACGGTCCTGTTCGGTGTATTCAGAAGGGCGGCTCCTCGAAAGACGGGCCCCTGGATGTGCTCAGAGCCAAGCATGCTCATCCCGGAATGCAGCCAGCGGCCCCACGAAGAGCGTGCACCTGAGGGTTGAGGTTTCTGGGTGTTTGGGATTACTTAGGACCTGTATGCACATAGCGAAGGCTTGTCTTGCACATACCACATAGGTTGCTCCAGATCACTTCGTGCTACGACCGCCATCTGCCCAAACTCTTAACACACCCCAGCAACAGACCTGCGCGCGGTGGAGGATTGCATGCGAAATCACTCGCAGTTTCTTCATGTAAGCGTGAGGGTGGCCAACACGTGTCTTTTGAATCCCCATGAAAGTCCTCAAGCGCATCGAACCCAGTTTAAAATGCCGCAACTTCGCCCGCGGAATGTCCGCTCTCGCTTCTTCTGCTGCGCCGCCAAGCACAGCGCGGCGGGTCCATGGGAAGGTTCCGGCCCCCGTTGAAATGTGACGGGTTCTCAGATTCGTGGATTCCCCACGGGTCTGGGGCGCATGGCTTGCCAACCTCGCCATGGACATGTGCTCTGGTGGCATTGCGAGAGTGGTGAAACCCGAGAGCCAATTGGCCCACAAAACTTGGCATCTCCTCTCAGACAAGTTTGAATGCCCACCAGGATTGCAACGGTTACAAGCCAACAACCTAATAGACACCTAAGCATTCAAAGTGACTAAAAGCTTGTCCGTTTTGGAGCTTGCCTTGGCTTTCAAAGGGCCAGAAACCAGGCCACGGCATCCGAGGATTGTCACGAACTCAAATGTTTCGTAGGCTGTAGTTTTGTAGTTTTGGGGCAATGTGCTGAGCAAAGCTGTCCCAGCGAAGCACCCTCCCAACAGCCGAGGCAGAACTTCACGCGGCAGCTCTGCCATCAGTCGATCTGAAGTGGCCGGTTTTGCCATCCGTACATGCCTTTGTACCTCAGTGCCAGGTTAATGAAAAGGGGGCATGCGGCATGCCGCATGCGCCACCGGCGCACGTCACTCCTATCAGACCTCCCAGTTGGCCATGGCACGCATCGTAGAGACCCTGCACAGCCGCCACCACAGCCTGCATTCGGAAAACCGAGCTTCAGATCAACACCTCCAGGAGGCCCGGGGCGTGTGTGCGTGTGTGCGCGTGCGCGTGCGCGTGCGCGTGCGCGTGCGCGTGCGCGTGCGCGTGCGCGTGCGTGTGCGTGTGTGTCTGCTTTTTCACGGCCGAGTTTTTTAAGAGTTGGGGAACCCAACCCTGCCTGCAGGGATCGGGGGCAGATGAGAACATGGAATTTTCTTTGCGACTCACATCTGCACTAACAGCTCGGGCGGCAGACTTCCCCATCTGCATCAACCAACATTCTCAAACCTTGGTCAGCAACTCGGAACCAGGATTCCGAACTGACATGTGCGATCTGCACCCTAAGCCCGAACAAAGTCCCGAGCAACCAAGGCAGAGAGCCGAAGAACGGAAAGGAGGGGCGCGGGTGTGAGTGTGGGTGCAGGTGTGGGGTGCGGGCACGGGTGCGGGTGCTGGGTGTTCTAAACTAGGGTTCCTGCAGACGCAAAGCTCACAAACACAACCTTATTCCACACCTGGTGGGTTGCTTCCACGCTTTCGCCAGGCGGGATCGGGTCCCCGAAGGCGTACAGAAGCTGCCGCCTTGGGCTTCAAGGCATGGGCCTAGGCTTTGCTTGTCCGCGTTTCGGGGTTCGAGGTCAGGGCTTGTGGTTAGACCTTCATGCCTGACCTTCCCAACAGGGACTCTTCGTCGGAAAAAGCTCTAAATCCCCCCACGAACCTCGAGTCCCTCGCCCTAAGCTCCCTTAAATTCCCTAGGGTGGAGAACTTCTTCGCGACTTTTTCTCTTGTTTCTTCGCGAACTTGTTTTTCTTGGAGGGAGGGCTTGGGGGGGCGGGAAAACCTCTATCGTCTTGCTTTATTGGCGAAAACCTAGGACCGAGGTAACACCCTCAAAGATCTTTCAGTATCAGCCGATCTCGAGCTGTAGGGCCGCAGGGTCAACAGGGGCATAGGCTCCTCCGAAACCACACCACTCACGGCAGTCGGGACTTGGGGTTTTTTGCGGGCTTAGGGTTTAGGGTTTAGGGATGTGGGGCTTATAAGGCTACGGGTTTGCGGAGGTTGGGGATGCGGGCTTTCCCGAGTTTAAGGGGGTCAGGGGTTCACGTCGCAAAAAGGCAGTTTCTACGAGAAAAATTGATCCCCTAACACCCAAAGGTGCTTCTCAGCGGTCTACAGAATTCCTGTCGGGTAGCAGCTCAGGACCTGAAAATTCAGCACGACATCTCATTCAAAAATCTTCACACCGCAAAAAGCTGCTGTGCTGTGACTGCCATGCCACTTCTGCGGAACCAGGAGGCCGAAACGCCCGTAGGGCACGATGATGCTGGCCTGCGGCGCAGAAATTGCCACATGTTGCCGAAGGCTGCGCGAAGAACCCTTTTGCACGAACCGGGTGCAGCTTGTACTTCGAGCCATCGTACTTCAACCCTCCAAAATATCCAATCTTCCCAGAGGCAACCTGGAGCCACCGGCTCAGGCGCTCGACAAAGGCCGGCAAGGGAAGGTGGCCTCGGAGCTGCTCCAGCAATCTGAATAGAGATCTGTGGGGGGTTTTGGGATGCGTTTTTCGCAGCATCTTCGGGCTTCGCAGTCAGGCTTACCTCTTCCTAGGCTTTGCGGGGTCGGGATGCCAACTTGGACTGGTCTCGCGGGCCGCGCTGTCTCCACGGCTCAGACAAGAGATTCACACGTGCAACCACTGGGACTTGCAACCCCGCACCCTTGTGGGGTGCAGAAGGGTATGAGCCATTCCTACACCACATGGGGGTTTACGTTATTAGGGATATATATATATATACATATATATATATATACTTCTTATCGTAAACCCCCACATAAAGAGCGTAGCCTTCAGGCAGGAACCTCATCGAAAATCATCTCGCCGAGTGTCTCCAGAGCACGCTCTGGCCAAAGACGTAGACGGGCACCAGAGGGACCTTCGGGGATGACAGGAGCCCTCAACCTACCTCTTCAAGGGGGCGGATTTTCCCGCGAGGGCTTCCTTTTAGGGTTCTATAAGGTTTTAGGGTTCCATAGGGTTTTCTAGGGTTTTCTAGTTTTCTAGGGTTTTCTAGGGTTTTCTAGGGTTTTCTAGGGTTTCTAGGGTTCTAGGGTTCAGGGTTTCAGAGTTTCAGGGTTTCAGGGTTTTAGGGTTTTAGGGTTTTAGGGTGTTAGGGTTTTAGGGTTTTAGGGTTTTAGGGTTTTAGGGTTTTAGGGTTTTAGTGTTTTAGGGTTTTAGGGTTTTAGGGTTTTAGGGTTTTAGGGTTTTAGGGTTTCAGGCTTTTAGGGTTTCAGGGTTTCAGGGTTTCAGGGTTTTAGGGTTTCAGGGTTTTAGGGTTTTAGGGTTTTAGGCATTTCAACAACCAATCTTCCGTCGAGCCCTCGTGAAGCGCAGCGGGCGCGCCTTGTTCTCCATAGCAATCCGCACCGCACCCTTGCGGGAGCGGAGAAGCAAGCGCTCCTGTCACATCCCTTCCCGAGCGACATTGGGCTTGGGATTCAAGCACTGGGACTTGGGTGAGGGCTCGCAGACAGTCTTTGCAAAGACTGTTGCTGTGTGTTGCTGTTCAGTTGTGGAAGTCTTCCCAACTTCAAGGACTCCAACAAACCAATCAGGCAAGAAGACCCAGCAGCGCAGCCTTCCAGTTACATGGGGACCGAAACCATCATCGTCGTCGTCATCGTCATCATTCTATATCATCCTTATGACCAGCACATCCAGCACCTCCTGTAGGATGTGTCCGAGATTCTAGATTGAAGCGCAGACTTGGCGGCGGCTAGTCCCAGGACATGTGAAGAGCAGGCAAAGCAGCGTAGAACTTCTTTTGCGCATGGGAAACAACGGAACTCCGAATGTCCGCGCGGTACGATCGCGGCGCTTGCACTTGTTCCTCCACGCACCACGCTTGCGCCAACAAGAAGCCATTTGTGAGATGCGTCCAAAAACGACGACCATTTCGAGGATGACGGCGACGACACACCGGCCACTCCGTTGCTGATTCAACAGTCGTGGTAACGATCATTCTCGAGGCAACACGTGCAAAACAGCACAGCGCAAAACGCGACGCCTCTCCCGTGGACCTCGTCCCCCCACTTAGATCTCATGCACGACTTCGTTTAAGTGTTCACAAGTTCGAGGAATCGACTGTGAAGCAACGAGCCATGGCATGCTGATAAAACATGAGCGCCACGCTTTCGGGAGAAAAAATGCTGAAGCCTACCCCAAACACAAGCACGGGCGCCGTGTTCGCGTCGGTGCGGACCATCTCAGCGATGCCACCTCCGCAGGGTCCGAGTCCAGCACGGGGTGCGGGAATGTGCGGGCGGCATTCATGTTGTCCCTTGATTTGTGTAACCTCACCCCTTCCTCCCCCCCCTCCCCAACATCGGGCCTCCCATCAGGAAGCAACATTACAGCACCCCCAAAATGGCCGAAATCAGCTTGAAGGAGTTCAAAGTTTCAGCGCTGAGGGTGTGGGGTCTAAGCCCTTGCTCACAGCAGGCAGTGGCAAGGTTCGAACACGGCACCAATACTGGTCCCTCTTCAACCAGAGGAAAATGCCTGTGACAGACCCCAAACTCCCACAAAAGAAGCAGGAGGTCCGAAAAACCCCTTCCAGGGCCTGGGAAAAGGCCCACCGAGTCGCCATTCTTCAGGGCCCGGGCGATGGAAGCCTTGTCCGCACGGATGCCTTGACGTATCGCGCGGCCCATGGGAGACGTAACGGTTTGGCTCAGGACTTACAAGCACTTGCGGGCATCTGGGTGTGGGGTCCCAGGCCTTCTTAAGGCCTACTGCTCGGGGTTGAGGTGTCAAAGTTGGGGACGAACATAGGAGCCCGGTCGCGCTTCAACCCCCCTCGAAGCCTTAAGTAAACCCCGACTGCAACGGCCCCGAAACCTGGGGCCTACAGAACCCTCCCACTTCACGCAAAGGGGCATCCGATGTAGCCCAGGAGCTGCCGGATGAAGGGTATCCCTTGGCTTGGAAAGGACGAGAGAACGATTGAAAAGGTGGCAATCAATCTTGAGGAGCCCGGTCTGCTCCGGGGTGAAACTTAGTAAGAACAGCGTCATTGTAAAGCCTTTTGACCGGCTGCGTCGCGCAGAACTCGAAAGCATTTTTGACGGGTTGGGTGGACCAGGGACTCGGGATGGATCTCTCTCTGTGCCGAGGAAGCTCGAAAGGCAATGTCGGCTGCAGCAATGCGCATTCGAGGAAACACCTGGCAGCCAGGTTGCGCGAAACCATCTCAACCATAAAATTATTGTAAAAAAGAATTGTAGGGCTGATACTAAGTACCTACGAATCCCACAAGCACTGGCCCCGGAATCTAATCTTACACCTTGACCCTTTATCGTTACCCTGGATGCGCCTAAACCCTGGGCCTAAGCACTGAAGACCAAATAAGCATAAATAAGCCAAATACCCCACCCAACACCGAAGCCAAAACCCAAGCCGATTGCTCCTGGCCTCACGCAAGGTGGAAAGTCCCGTGCAGGCACCCGAGAACGGGTAGAGGCCATGCCTGACTCTCGGTTGTGCACTCTCAGGCACCCTGACCCCCAAGCACCTCTACCAAGAGGCCCCCGGAAGATGCCGAAAAACAAGCTTCGTCCTCCCCAAACAGGCCGCCCGTTTTCACTTTTCTGGCAGAAACCGCGAGCTGAGAAGCCCAAACTTCCCGAAGCTCAAGGAAAGCTGCCAGGCCACGGCATCAGCAAGTAGAGGTACTGGCCCGGGGGTGGGGCCTCTCCACTCTTGTAGACATAGCGAACCGAAAGATACCTCAATGTCAGGAGAGTCAGGGGGCCGGGGGGGGGCCCCGGGGGATTTGGGAGGGCCCCGGCGGGGGGGGGGGGGGGGGAGGGGCAGTCTCGGGGCTGCTTTGGGATCGAAGCTCGCAGTCAAGTCAAGACGGCTTCGTAATGTCTTGGGGGGCTCGATGGCGTTGAGTCTTCTTCGAGCACTGTGTCATGTCTTGCACCCGAAAAATTCGACGCCTGGCTTGCCACACCTTCGGCTTAGGGCCTACATTTTGGGGATTTTTGGGGCCGAACTTGACCTGCCGAAGCCTGTCCTACTCCCGTTCAACCTGGCAAGTTGCTCCAAGAACCACCGCCAGGAAAATGATCCCATGAACCATGGTCGAGTGGTCGTGGGCATGAACCTTGGCGGATGGAGCTCCGCTGCTGCAGGCAATCTCGAGAACCTAACAGAACCTAACGGAGGACCCAAGGCTAGCCTTGAAATCACATGCTCAGCATTCTGCAGTGGAACACTGCACGCAAAGCAAGGCGTTTTGCAACTGCATGCACTTCGACTTCGAATCACATTTAGGCTATTTCAGGCTCTTTCTGGCTGTCACACAGAGGTAGATGGCTCCGCCAGTCTCTGCGGCGACAGGCGAACACCGATGACAAGAAGCATGAGGAGGAGGTAGATGCTCAGCACCTGTACTAGGATGTTGGCCGATGCAGGCACAAGGTCTTCGACAAGGACACACATCATCTCAACAGGCTCAGCATTAGCGAAACATCTTCGTGACGTTTGCGCGCTTGTGCGTGTCCGAGCGGTCCGAGCGTGTCGTGCGTATGCAGGGTGGGTGTACATGACGCGCTTTTGCGTCGCGTCAGCGGCGCATGTGCGTCGTGCTTGTGCATGGTGGGTGTACGTCGTGCGCATGTGCATACTGCGCATGCGCATCGTGCACATGTGCGTCGTGCGCATGTGCGTCGTGCGCATGTGCGTCGTGCGCATGTGCATGCATGTGCGTCGTGCGGAGGTTGGTCGTGCGAAATCGTGCTCATGATTGCGCATGTGCGTCGCGCGCATGCGTTTCGTGAGCCGGTGTGGCACGCACGTGCCTCGAGCGCATGCGCGTCTCCTGCGCATGTGCGTTCCTTGTGCGTTCCTTGTGCGTTCCTTGTGCGTTCCTTGTGCGCCTGCGAGTGCGCGTGAGCGTGTGGGTGTGCGTGTGGGTGTGCGTGTGGGTGCGCGTCCGCGTGCGCGTGCGCGTGCGCGTGCGCGTGCGCGTGCGCGTGCGCGTGCGCGTGCGCGCGTGCATGTGCGCGTGCATGTGCGCGTGCGCGTGCGCGTGCATGTGCGCGTGTGCGCGTGCGCGTGCGCGTGCGCGTGCGCGTGCGCGGGCGCGGGTGCGCGCGCGTGTGCATGCGCATTGGCGCGCGCGTGCATGCGCGTGTGCATGCGCGTTGCATGCGCGTGCATGCGCGTTGCATGCGCGTGCGCGTGCATGCGTGCGCGTGCGCGCGTGCGCGTGCATGCGTGCGCGTGCATGCGTGCGCGTGCATGCGTCCGCGTGCATGCGTGCGCGTGCATGCGTGCGCGTGCATGCGTGCGCGTGCATGCGTGCGCGTGCATGCGTGCGCGTGCATGCGTGCGCGTGCATGCATACGCGTGCATGCGTGCGCGTTGCGCGTGCATGCGTGCGCGTGCATGCGTGCGCGTGCATGCGTGCGCGTGCATGCGTGCGCGTGCATGCGTGCGCGTGCATGCGTGCGCGTGCATGCGCGTGCATGCGCGTGCATGATCGTGCATGCGTGCGCGTGCATGCGTGCGCGTGCATGCGTGCGCGTGCATGCGTGCGCGTGCATGCGTGCGCGTGCATGCGTGCGCGTGCATGCGTGCGCGTGCATGCGTGCGCGTGCGCGCGTGCGCGTGCGCGCGTTGCTGCTGCGCGTGCATGCGTGCGCGTGCGCGTGCGCGTGCGCGTGCGCGCGCGCGGCGCGCTGCGCGCGCGCGCGCGAGCGCGCGTGTGCGCGCGCGCGCGCGCGCGCGTGCGCGTGCGCGTGCGCGTGCGCGTGCGCATGCACGTGCTCGTGGCTTGATCGCGTGCATCCCGCCAAAGCTTGGATGCAAGTGCTCACACAGATGCTTGGAATGGTGTCTGCCGCAGCCCTAGGACTAACCCCGACAATCCCCAAGAGCCCAAAAACCTCAAATTCGCAGTCCAGGCGCTACTGCGAACCAGCGGCGCGCCCGCTGGCGGTCCTGCATCTTTGGGCTACACACACACACACACACACACACACACCCACGCAGGCACGCACGCACGCACGCACGCACGCACGCACGCACGCACAGCTATATATATATATGTACATACATACATGTACATACATACATATATATATATATGTTTATATGCCCACACCTGCCTATTCCAGGCAAGGCAGCGGCAGTCCGGGTGTGGGTTTTGGACTTTTCGACTCTCACACTTTGCGCACAGTAGACAAGCCCGTCTTTCCACAGAATTCCTCTGGCTTCAGAATGAGTGATTAAACTCCCGGACTTGCAGCGGGTCAAGGCCCGCTGCTTCTCCGCACGGAAAACCCTAAGCCCTAAACCCACATCATCGGCCTCGGCCTTGGTTTGCCTTGGCACCTTATGACCTGGCTGAAGAACGCCTCTTTGGACTCCGAAGGCGTGCAGTAGCTGTGACCAGAACAGGAACAGCGCACAGACAGAGAGGCCGCAGCGGCAGTTCTAAAGAAAGGTGTTGCAAGAACGGCGGCTCGCTTGCTAAACATCGATCTATACAGGGCTTGCCGAAAGTAGCCCTTGTTAGGAGGGAACCCTACGATTTGGGGTGTTTTTTTAGGGGCCCCTTATTTTCGTAAACCCCCATCTGCTGAACCTGAGCTATCCGAAAGGCCGTCGGTCCTCCGGCTCTTTTGCGCGGAAGGCCTTGGCCGCAGAAGAGCTTCACCGAAGACCAACCCCCACAACCTGAACGCACCTTAAAGGGGAATGGGGCAGACGAAGCTACGCACGGACACTTGAATACACAGTGGCTAAAATCTGTTGGCTTCAGAAACTGCACAGACTCGTCATGACTCGTCATGACTATATGAACTACATGCCGCTAAATCGCAATCTTCTTCTTGGGGTTTTGGGGGGGGGGGGGAAGCTTCGGCGGGCTGCTTAAATTGGGACCCTACATAATCCCTTAAAAGGGTATAGACAGGGCCGTTCCCTACGACGTTCCACGGAGTGGAGGGAACCTTTTATCCCATCCCCGGCCTTCCAGAACAGGTAGCCCAGGGCTGCTGGAAAGCCAGGGACGCTGCCTCGGCCGAGGAGCCGAAGCCCCACCCACCCATTAGGCGCATACTGGCGCATTTAGGGTTTAGGGTTTAGGTTTAGGGGTTTGGGTTTAGGGTTTAAGCTTCTTTAGGGTTTAGGCCTGCATTTGAAACCACAACATGTGTGACAGGAAAGCACCGTGCAAGCCAAGCTGCCGATGACCAATGCACATTGGAGGACCACCCCTGCATCGGCATACCACGTGAGGGGTTTCCTGGATCAAGGTACACATCTTTATCTTGGCACACGGCATTGATATGTCTACATACAAATAAACATATACATGTACAAACAGTGCGTGCACGTGGAAAATCAGCCAGCGCGCGCGCGCGCGTGTGTGTGTGTGTGTGTGTGTGTGTGTGTGTGTGTGTGTGTGTGTGTGTGTGTGTGTGTGTGTGTGTGTGTGTGTGTGTGTGTGCGTGCGTGCGTGCGTGCGTGCGTGCGTGCGTGCGTGTGTGTGTGTGTGTGTGTGTGTGTGTGTGGGTGTGTGTAAACAAATCTATATGTGTACTATATACTTGCTCTTTCTTGCTGCATACTATAAACTATGAACTTTACACTATCAACGGTCTACTTTATACTGTTTACTATATGCTATGTACTATATACTACATACTACATACTACATACTATATTTGTGAAGTCGACCAGCACTGGACTTGCACTAAGCCAATGCAATCACAGCCCGGCCACGCTGTTTTACGACTTCGCGAGTTCAAGCACTTGTGCAGCTACGCCTGAGTGCGTCCGGTCGGACCGCACAGCAACCTAAGAGCTACTGTACGAAACTACCGTGCTCAAAGGCACAAGCTCGGTACTTGAGCCAAAACATTGGCATTGTTACGAATTGCAAAACTACACATGCAAAGGAAAACAACACGCTGCACTAGCACTAAGCAAGCACACCATGCATGCTTTGACCTGCTCACATTCGCCCCTCAGCCGAGGCTTCCGGCTCACCAAGAGCTCATAGTGCGTCAAGCACTTCCGCAACGCGGCAAATGGGGTAGGGCGAGGGTGTCGCGTGCGACCCTGGTAGAGCCCGCACATCATGAGCATTGGCATGCGGCTTGGGCGGCAGCCCGCACTACCAAACGGACGCACGACGACAGCAGCCCTCTACGACCCTAAACCACCCCAAGTCGCGAGCGCTCACCTTTGTGCTGGCAGGCGAGGCTCCAGAGTACTGGGCAGGTCTTTGTGCTGCTAGTGCAAAGCTATGGTACAAATGGTACACTGTACAAACTACCGGCCCTAAGCTACGGCTACGGCTACTCACCTATCCAGAACTACCCTACGGGCTACCGGACTCAGCGAGAGCCGCGCACATTGCTTGTGCCGCAGCCAGTGCAACTCGCACGCGCTTCGGCGAGCGCACTGCCGCGACCAGGACACGGTCCGCAGCACCTGCAAAAGAGCTCCCTCGACAAGAGGGGCCACAGGCAGGGCGGAGAAGAAAAGTGCGGGGAATGCAAAATGGGCAGGCTTCCAACCTGCCGCGGCTTTTCGCCCGCAGTCACGCAAAAGAAAGTGCAAAAGGTTGGCGAAGCAGCGTGCCGTGCTGCAACGCCGGCTCTGATAATGCGTGGATACATACCACGCCGCGCCAACTGGCCGCAGCCTACTCGATACCCTGTGGAGCAGAGTTGGGGGCACGAGTGGCGTTGCCGGCAACGTTGGAGCTACTGGCTCGCTCCAACTGAGGGCGCTTTGCAACCGCCTCATCGAGGGAGAATGCCTCAGCCGACACCCTCTGGAAATCCTCGACGTAGGACTGCGCGACAGGGTGCGTCTTGGGGACCTCAAGCTTAAGCCCTGCCTCCGCATTGGCTTTGCTGCTTGTGGTAAAATTGAGGCTCCCAATCAGCACCACCGCGCCGTCAGGCCGCAGTAGGCAAAGGGCTTTGGCATGGTGCAGCCCTTGAATCCCGGTGCCTACCTTAGCCCCGCGGCCGTCGCGAGCATAGGCGTCGCGCAAGGATGTGCCGCAACCCACCTTCACCTCGGCACCTGCGGCCGCCAATCGCTTCAAC